ATTTACAATTTAAGAGTTATATTTCTTGTTAGATTAGCAGAGATTATCTTCTCAAACATCTTGAAATTTGTGCAGTTGTTTAAGTAAGCATTTTGTGAATCTTTTAGTTTTAAAATAGTCAAAACTTCGCTAGCTGGTTACCCTTTGGTATGATCAATTTGGTCTGAGTAGTTTCTTTTCAACTTTGTGGTAAATACATCAAATTGGGTTTTTTTCGGAATTTAATAATGGAATGTTCCTATGTGAATATGTTGGACATACTTTAAACACAATTTTTGTCTTGAAGAAAGTCCTACTCGATCGTAATTAGTTGTGGTGGAAAACAGTGCGTCTGAAACTTATCATTTATTCCTTGACAAGTTGGCCAGCAGAATTTAATTGTTATTCTGTGTGAATTTTAGCATTAATAGCGATTCATTTTACATTAGAGCATACAGATAAGGTCATACAATTAGGAATGCAGAGGACACATCTTCGTCTTTTGTGGGTGAATTCGTATGAGATTCTACTGGCAAAATTTTGTATTTGATCTTGATGGACACAAAGGGTCATACTAAGGTAGTTAAGATGAAACACATAACGAGATACAGGAACACATAAAATAGTTTTATTGCTGCACTCATTGGATATGATTTGACTGGACTGTGCTTTACTGATTGCGAAATGATTTCCACTTTACTTGCACCTTGTTCATTGCTATGCTAAAACAAAATCCTTCTGGTAGATATTGCACCTGTTGCACAAAGAGCACTGAAATTACGAATTCGCCTACGATATGGCTCAGACGCAGTGGTCACTTCTGTCACAAAATCCATAATGACAAACATGATTGTTGCAAAATGCAAACGATATTGCGTGTATAAAGTATACATTGCTGAAAAACATTATAAACAACGATAATTTTGACGTGCAATGGATTGCCAAGAATTTTCAAAGAATATCAAAATATTTATTTTAATGATTTTCAATGATATTGAGGAATTTCTTATCATTTTGAAGAATAACGAGAAGCTTGTAATAAAAAACATGTATCCAGAAGACTTCAGAACGATTTCCAGAGGTTATCAAAATTTCTTTAGAGGATATAATAATATCCAGAATTGTCTAAAAATATTCCTGAATGTACAAGAATTTTTTAGGGATATATTATTATAGTGATTCAAAAAATTTCTAGGGAACTTTTTATCCAACAAGATCTAAACATAAGAATATTTAGGAAAGTTAAAGAAGATTTCCATAGCAACTTAATCATAATAATGAATTAAATTGCATTATAACGAGATAAACAATAATAAAATAACTAAATTCGAAAATGAACTTCTGTTGGTTCACTTGATAGACACAAGGTCAACTAATTGATATTAAATGTTAAAACTGATTCAGGACAAACAGATGTTTATTTGATTGAAGTTCACTTCATGTTAACTTCTAAATGATTTATAGCTTTCGAAACGGTACAAGACGATAAAATTCCTTTAATTCTTAATCGTTAATTTTTTTTTCTTTTCAGCATGATAATAATGAACAAAATAAAAAGAAATTCCCCCCGTTTTCTTTGAACCTTCCGTGCGAAAGCAAGTTGTGTAGTAAAAAACCAAGTTTCCCTTCAGACAGGTTACTTTCGGTTGTTTCAATTCATTGGGAAAATTGCGTATACGCGTAGAGAAAATGTTCTTCGTGACGTGTGAGCCCGAAGGCAGCCCGTCATGCGATACACCTGTTAGCGTTTCCTCGGGGGACCACGGAGACCCCCCTAATGTGAGTTCTAAACAGATTTTAATGCAGTAAAACAATGACTCGGGGTTCTACTACCCTCTCCGACTCCTTTCATAATCGTTTCGTTCGAACGAGCGACGTCGTCCACCGTTGGGGCTCGTAAAACTCCCTGAATTATTAAAACCCCCGCGCATAACCCCTTGAGGACAAACCTCCGATTTCTATGAGAAGGGCGAGAATTAATTCAAATCATCTAAAAGAAACAAATTAATAAATTTAATTTTTTGATAGATAAATTATTGTAATAAAGTTACGACGTTAACGGTGTTAATAATTTGATTTTAAGTTTCAATTAGATGTGAAAAATTATCGCTCTCGGTCGTAAATCAGTGAGATAAGGCAATAATAATTACAAGTATAGTAAAATAAAAATTAAAATAAAAAAAAGAAGTAACCGGGGTCGACAGTAAACACATGTTTTAGTAGATAAAACCGAAGTTGAACCGATAATGTGGGTCACGGCGGTATAGAAAAGTCGTGGCAACGCTGCGTCGTTTCGAACCGTTTTTAATTAATTATTTAATTAATTAACGCCGTGGCGTGCCCCGGCGACAAATTGACCACGGCGACGACGACGACGAGGACGCAAAATCGTTCCCAACACAAAGTCTCTCGACACGAACCCCGAGCCTTTGTACACGGTAATGCACTGTTTTCACCGTTTTTAATGGGATTTCCCTCGAAACTGCACATTCATCATACGAAATCGATAGTTAACATGGATACATATACAACTCGAAGCTTTATTTGACATTTCTAACTTTATAAACGGTTTTACATTTTTATATGTACACATATCTTTAAATAGGTAATTTTATAACATTATCTCAAAATATATTAAAGATCAAAATTGTAATAAAATTAAGCTAGACTGCAAGATATGAAAAATAACAAGGCTTCCGAGCCTGGAGAATCTACCTATAGAACTAATTAAACATGCTACCATGAAAGTCTAGGAAATAATATACACGATATTTAACAAATGTCTTAAAGGACATGACATTCCACTAGATTGGGAAAAGTCCCAAATAATTAAATCATTACTTGAAAGGTTATATGGAAGAGTCCTGAAAACTAGGATAGAAAGTGGTTTCAGACTTGGAAGATCTTGCGTAGATGATTTATTCACGCTTAAACACCTAGTTGAGAAGAAGCTGGCAAAAGGAAGGGAAATACATATTGCATATAGCATAGATCTAAGAAAAGCGTTCAATATGGTCCCGCTTCAAAAATTATGGATTGCCCCGACAGATGCAGGCATCAACAGAACTTACATCCATGCTGTGAACTTATCCCTAACGCGGCAGAGATTCAGATAGGAAAACTCACAAATCATACTTTTTCTCCTACAAAAGGTGTCAAACAGAGATGCTGCCTCTCTCCCATAATATCCAAGATCTATATCCACTCAACCCTAAAACATTGGAAAAGGAAATGCAGCCCAATGGGATGACCAAATAGTTCTTGCAGAGGACGAAGAGGATATGAGGTATATGTTAAATAAACCAGAAGAAGAATATAATAAGTGGGGCTTGGAAATGAACAAAGGTAAGACATGTGGACCAGTACGAATACCTTGGGGTAGTTATAAACGAAGACGAAAAGGACAATAAAGATATAATGAGGAAAGTTGGCAAACGATAAAGGCAATGCATTCGATTCTGTACCAACCTAACGATACAAACGAAGAAAAATATTTTTAGGGATATTATAGAAGCATTAATGACGTATGGGGCAGAAAACAAAGATACAACTCGAAAGCTGCTATCAGCAGAGGTAATGTTTTGGAGAAGATGCTGCGGGCATAACCATGCTGGACCGAGTTGAAAATGAGGAAATAAGAAGAAGAATGACGGCACAAAACTCAATAATAGACACTATAAATGAAAAGCAACTAAAATGGTATGGACATCTACGCCGAATGAATAAAAAGAGAATCAACAATAAAAAAAAAGCTGCAAATACTCTCCAAATAGAAATAGAAAAAATAAATTATTTATTGAAACGATTTTTTTTAACTAAATTCTTAGATGAACTAATGAACTGTGAGGAAATTATACAAATTACAATGAATTTATCATGTGGTGTATTGTTGACAATAACAAATACCCACAAAATTCATAGTTGACAGTTGAATTGATTACAAATAATAAACATTCTCTTCAAGTTGAACGATATAAAATGACAATAAAATTGAAATATTAAGTGGGACAAATACTGATTGTGAATAATTGCGAACAATTTAAGTGTATAAATAATTTTGAAATTAATTGTTGCTATTTAATCTTAATTAAATATTTTTACGTAACATCATAATTTTCTATTTGAATTCTATTTTAAACAAAACATAATTTATACATAATTTAAATTCTTTATTTATCAACAGTCGAACAAATTAATTAATACAATAACTGTTATTGTCTCGATTTTGTTTAAAGCAAACTTATAAAACGATTATCATTATCATAATACAGTAAAAGTGCCATTTGAAAGTGAATTCGAGGCGTTTAATATTAATTGACCTCGGAAAAATTACAATATCTTATTACACAATTTGTTAAAGTTAAAAAAAGTTATTAATAAATTAAAACATAAAAGTAAATAAAGAAAAATGACGACTACGTTTAAAAGATTAAATTATTTGTAAATCAGCGACGTTTTAATATTTTAATATCGCAATTTCGTACGTATTTTTAAAAATTTTATTATTACCTAATTAAAAAATAAAAAGAAAATATGAGACAAACTCGCAAACAATGTTTATTTGTTTCGCTATCTCACGTATTTTAAATTTCTTAATTAGTAGGCACATCGTTAACAAGAACGTAAAATAAAAATTAAATGGGTAATAAAAAAAAAGTTTTTTCTATTCGTATCATTTTTTTGAGAAACCTGCAGATTAAGCGTTTATCCTTCAAGTTATATTAATCTAATTTTTATCCCTCCCTCAATTTTGGGTTAACCCCAAATAACAAAATAGAATACGTGACGTCGTCTCCCGTTATCACTTATCGATAAAATGGGGGGTAACAAAACGCACGACGAATACATAAAACGATCCCTTTCTTTCCGGTATAAAAGAACATACCGTTTTTTCAACAAAATAAATAAAAACATTAATGAACAAGAGCTTATTTTCTTACCAAAATCTTGGGGATATTTGACGTTGTAAAGTCAGTACGGTGATATAAGGGTGACTCTTCGATTTAGATTAAACCACTTACCCATGGCATCTGAAACAGAAAGAAAGACGAATGAGATCTTCGAGGTTCGAGAGGTGCCTCTTTTGTTTGGTAATCATCTGTCAACGCGTCTTCAAGTAAACATCAAGACCCGGCGTCCTAGCCTCTCATAATGGAGGCGACGAACGCTGTTTTAAATAAGTAAACATCCCGCGACGTCGTCGTCGTCTTCGTCGTCTTGGACGAGTTGACGTTCGTTGAAAGTGGAAATAGTAAAGTAGACGAGAGAGAATTTGTAACCGTGAATTGGATTTATTTATTTATTTCTTTTTTTTTGGAATCGAGAGTGTTATTTGTCACACATTAAAGAATGTAGTTAGAATTAAAGTAAAATGAAAATAAGATATGTAATAAATTTGACAGTTTGTGTTATACAAAAATAATTATTTGTATTATTCAAATAAATTTTATACACTATGCACTGTATTGAGATGTCAATCGTTTCCATAATTAGGTTATCCTGCACATCCTGCAAAAAATACTACCAAAACTTTGTCCATAAATTCATCTTCATCATCACAGTGTCAAAATGTGGAACCTTTGTTCCGTTCCTTAGACTCTTGTGCTTCCGTCATGGTCATGAGATCTCTTTTTTAGCAGATTCGTTTATAGTGAAGACCTTGCATTTGTTATTTCAATTATTTCAAGTGGACAAGAGGAAATTTTACGAGCAATACCTTATGGAGGTTGTTATATGATCACCATCCTCAACTCACCGGTGAAATCAAACTCTTAGAGATGATCATCTAAAGATCTACTTTCATGGTTACTTTATTTAGTGTGAACGTGTAAATCCAAATATTTTAGCACATTTCCAACTAGCCGTAAGTAGTTTTACCCCAGCAGATAGCTTCGTGAGTTCATTTCAGTAACTGAAAACGTCGTTTCTGCGTTTGAGAGAAATCAATTTTGCTCTCGATCCTGTTTTTTTTTCTCCAAGTGCCAAAAACTCACAAGAAGTTTACAGTAGGTATTGCTGAGAGAACTGTTCATAAGAACGATTATGTAAGATTTTGGCCCAAATTTCGGCAAACACGGGGTGATGAGTTTTTCTTGCAGACTTTTCCTCGAGTCATTTCTACAGAAAGTCAAATTTTACGAGCAACAGAAAGGATAATCATAAACTCATCATATCCACCGATTAAATGAATCTCCAAGGAGATTATCTCCTGAGAAACTACCGTCCAAGTTACCTTCGGCCTCTATTTATACTAGGGTGAACTATACTAGAAAGATTTGAATATCAGTCTTGCTTAAAAGCGACCAAGAAATCTAATATCTCGTCTTTCTGCATATGTTGTGTGTCTGAGGTTGAATAGGTTCTGTTTGTGGATTAGGTTCGTTGCTTTTTTGTCGATATGTAACTTGATTTCAAGTGGTCGAGTAACATAATGCCTATCCTTAAATCATGCTAAGATTTGAAGTGACAGAACCTCACCAGGGATTCTAATGGGACTGTCATACATGAGTGCTACTATTATTGCTAAGAGCCACAACAGGATTTTGGATAGGACTTTTATTCATATATTGTGGCGTTCGGTCTGATGAGGTTTCTGGGGTTGACTTCTGGTATCCAAATAAAGAAATCATAAAATACTCCAATAAAATTCCTCCAATACACTGCTGTATGAAACGGCAGAGATTATTAATTAGACATTGCCAAATGCGAACATATTAATGTTCTGATAATTCCAGTTGTATATAATTAGGAGAATCACCTTACACAGTCCGTTCCAGAACTTCTAATTAGGATAAATTTTAACATTAGTTAGGATTTAGATTTTTCTATGTGTATATATAGCTTAACGTTTTATAGACCAATGGTAAAATGATACCTCACAAGTCGCTGAGCCAGGCAACCAACATATCTATAATTCACATGTTACAAGTAAAGTTAGAGTGCACAGTTGTTTCTAATTGTATAGTGTAAGAAACAAAAGATATTCCATTTAAACCAGATTGGGACATAGGTAACAGTCGCTTTATAATGTTGAATACTGCATCCAGTGTCTTATGGTATCAGGATTTCGGTTGCTTCAACACATAACGCACAGTACTTAATAATAACATTCTAAATAGTAGTCTAATAAAAAAACAACTTAATGGTTAAATGTAAGGAGTACGGAAAAACAGTAAATATATGAGCAAAGCTAAGTACAGACTTCAAGGCAATACCTAAGTCGTAAACGCGTCAACCAACCTGGATAGTTAACGAGGTTAGTAAAGTTTTTTTTATGGACAGCAAAATCATTAGGTTAACAAGAATTGAAGCCATTTCTAAAACATCTCCTAATCATGGATAATTTTATCAACCAACACATAGGTACAACTGTATGCTTATTCATGAAGCGATAATTTTACCTTAATGTTAGAGGCGATTACTCGTATATTATAAATTATGACAGCGTCATGATGGATTAGTGATACTCCTAGCTACACTGAAAAAGGTTTGATAAAGAAAAAGTATGGGAGTGAAACAGCAGATAGACAGTAATAGAAAATATGACAGAAAAATGTACTTTTAAGTTCAATAAATCGATTCTGACAAATAATACTAAAAATCGACTCTGGAAAATAAGCAAAATAAGATTTTTAAAATTAAACTTGTGGTGTTTCGATAAGTTAACGATGTAACAATTAAGTGAGCGGTAATTGTCTTGAGAGCAGGTGTACCATGGGCCGTTGTGGTTATTGATGGTTTGGGTTAAAAACCATTTTTCGAAGAAAAACGTCTCTGAAAATTAATAGGTTTTGAAATTTAGTTTCTAACGACGATGTTTTTCGAGCTTCTACTAACGAACGCCCGTTTCGATAACTTATAATTTACCTTAATTGGTTAATACCTGTAAAATTAACGATGGTATTTAATGTAATTTGATGAAGGTAAACGGTTTTTGGTTTCTAAAACGAGTACATTTTTTTCTTGTTTAAACATCCGCATTTTTTCACTCTACGCGTTACCGTTTATTTGCGCGCTTACAGGTGCTTAGGAAATGAATGCATTGCAGTAAATCATACGTGACATGTTTGCTTAAAACCGATTGATCCTATTAAGAAAACTAATTATTTACTTTACACTTGGATAGGATGGTCAACGCCTTTCCCGTCAATCATATATATAAATATTTCCGCCCATACCTAACGCTTCACATTTAAATCGGAAATACTCTTACATTTTAGTGACTTTAGTCACACCGATTACCCTTAAATAATAATTACCACCAAGGTGTCAAACCTTGGCAGAGTACAAGACGCCCTAATACCTTCAAATGCCTTCTCTAAGACTCCCTTATCTCCACCCCTGTTACCGTCTTACAATTAACGGGAATAGTCTTTATCTGATGTACGAAGAACATTCTCTCGCATTCGTGTCAGAGAAGATTCTGAGAGAAGGGAGGAGGGTTTTTCCTGCGGGAGATGCCCCATTCGACTACCACTATTCGGCTATCGCACGGTCCGTCGGGGAAACAACGTACAATACCCGACAACCGTGGAAGAGCACCCCCGGTATATCGAAAAGGGGGCCCTTCTCTCCATTGTCCGACGTTTGCAGATCGGAAAAGATCAACTCTCAGACCGGAACCCTCCCTCTCCGGGGGAAAGCACAAGGGCACTTCTGAAACGATCGCATCGCGAACCGCGTTAACCGATTGCGTTACGAACAGACTGTTGCTCTTCCCTGTTGAGGACTGAGGACGACACCGGTTGAGTATTAAGAGGACAAGGATCATTCAATTGTTCGCTTGATACCCTATTTTAGATACATATAAAGCTTTTTGATATCTACACTAAGTTGTGGTTTTGATTGGTTTAAATAAATATTTAACATTTAGATTAATTTTAAGCATACAGATTTAAATTAAAACTAAAAGGTTTTAAGAGAATTTAATTTACGAGAATCGAATATACAGTGAATTTCACTTAAGATGTAACATACTAAAATATATTTCCATAGAAAGCAGGGCGTACCTACGTACTTTGTCCCATATAAAATGCAGTAAAACCTCGATATAACGGATTAATACGGAGAAGGTAGTGTCCGTTATAGCTCAATAAAAATATACAATAATGTAGTGCTGAACAAAAGAATAAAACTAGACTTAGCCGTACCTCTCTTAAGACAGCTGGTAGGTCGTAGGTAGCGCTAGTTAGCATAAAATATCACTATATTGCATATTTTTATTGAACTAAAACTAGAACTAAGGTCTCTCAAGACGGCTAACTCGAATGATTGTAGTTCTAGGTATAGTGTTAATTCTGGTAACAGTGCTAGTGTAAAACTAGAACTAACACTAGACCTAGAACTAGAAACATTCGGGTTCAGCCCTGCGCCTGATAAGACGGCTAAAGCCGAATGATTCTAATTCTTGATCTAGTGTTAGTTCTACTTTTAGTTCACTAAAAATATACAATAATCTAGCGCTGCATAACAATTAAAACTAGAACTAACACTAGACCTAGAACTAGAATCATTCGAGTTTAGCCGTCTTTAGAGACGTGCGGCTAAACCCAAATGATTCTAGTTCTAGGTATAGTGATAATTCGGGTTTTACACTTGCACTGTTACTACGTAGAACTAACACTATACCTAGAACTAGAATCATTTGGGTTTAGCCGTGCGTCTCTTAAGACGGCCGAAAACTCAGGGTTATCATAAGAACATCACCTATTCCTTTGGTATTCTATATATTCCTATTCCTATTCCGTTGGGTTGGATAGTTTTACTATCCAATACCTGTACTATTAAGCTATGTTGCATTTTATGTGGAACAGTGCAAGTACACAGTAGTTTCGTAACTATGGTTACTGTATTCATATATTTCGAGTTATATGAAATTCCCTGTAGATGAGTTTTCATTGATTTTTGTTGCAAATAAGTAAGAAAATAAAATGAATAAATTTATAGATAGTTTAAAGTCATGAATCAATTATTACATCAATTTGAAAACATATCTTTGGGCGTAACTTGGATCGTAAAAGTCGTCCTGTAA